TCCTGCTTTTGTTGTTGTTGGTGAGGTACTAAAGGTACTTACCTATTCTAAGTAAGTTTAAACATCATGTAACTTTTACGGTTTAAATGACACTTCAAAATAAAAGGGGCTTTTCATATAATTATAGTAGCCTAATTATTTTAAAATGGATCATGACTCTCCAGGTAGGCCTCATCTACAACAGACTAATAATTTGATCTTTTTAGAAGTTTCATTATCATTCCCAACACTCAAAATTCTTACGTGAGAGGTGAAGCTTACCTGGTGTAATTGTAAAAGGTTCCTTCTGCAAGGAGGACACTTGCATGGTCAGTCGGTCGACCTTCTTCTTTTCCCTTTTTCCTTCAACGATGAGACTCTTTTCTGCAAAAGATAGCTTCCTTAAACACAGTATTTTTCATTGCATGAGCAGATTTGACGTAGGTACAGGCAACATGACCCTGAATCTTTGAAATGACAAACCAAAAATGGATGAGGATACAAGCAAGTACTGAGATACTTTCAGACCCTGGCTAATAAGTCAACGTGATTCTATGGAGCTGCATATGCATAACAAGAAGTCTCCAGTTCTTAACCACAATCCTGTATCCAACACAAGGTATCTTCAAGACAAGACTAGGCATTTCCTAAAAGGAAAATTCCCTCACATCCACCCAAATGGAGGATACAGCATTTTCAGAAATCCATCGTTCTCTCCCTTCACGACCTTTTTGAGGTGTAGAAGTGACACTGTTTGCACAATCTCCTTCTTGGACACTGCACAGCTCCACATATAGCACTCCTGATAAGAATACTACCACCAGACAGGCAAAAGGAGAGTCCAGGTTGCCTGCAGACAAGTTATTTTCCCACTGCTGGACTGGAGGAACCACAGATATCAGCGGGAGAGGCAGAAGCACAAGCACAGTGGGACTGTGCGTGCCTACGCTGTGAACCATTTCAGGGCACCATATGAGTATCACAAATACTACAATAATACTATTCCCAGTAATTCTGGTACTTCTTACTAATGGATATGTTTAGATTGCTTTATGTGTATATCGCACATCATTACTTTAATGATACTACTTTAGGAGAAACAACTAAAGCTTCACCTACACATTTCATACTAAAATACTTGACCTCAAATCAAGTTGTCCTTAGCACTAAACAGATGGGCTGCCCTGGCTTTAACATCTGAAAGCAGCTTCAAACCTGTATGAGCACAATCAGAACTGGTATGTTTCTGCCAAAAACAAAGCAAAACATACTTGTGTGTACAAAAGAAAAATTGTTACTAAAAATCTAATTCCGATTACTCTATTATTTTCCAGATAGCATAATTTATTTTCTTTCCACTACCTTTTCCTAGAGACAAACTTGATTCCTTTCAAGAATTCCAGACCATCAGTGACTTGATTTTCACTGTGCCATACTGCAGCTCTATTTCCATGAATGCTTTCATTTGCAAAACAGATGCCTGGAGACTTCACAATGGAAATTAACATTTTTGCACAGTAGTTCCTTCATCATGTTTTGTACTCCTTGACTCCCTCTTCAATTACATACCACAACACAATACCTGCTTTGCTCATCTTATCATATTGCCCCAATTTTCACCGACAACTTTGGTCTAATGGAATTTCTGCCTCCCCAGTATAACAACATTTGGGTACCCAGAAAATTGTAGTTAAGCAAAGGCATCTGTATTGTTTCCAAAAGTACTGCACACTCACAAGTTTCCCTTTTGCGAACATGGATCACTTCAGAGTGTTACTGGCGAAAAATAATTTGATAAATGATACTACCTCCTATAATGACTGAAAAATTTACAGAACAAAAAAAACCTAGTGTAGAAACCCAGGATGCTGGCAATCCTTCAATTTTCTTGAGATAAATCAGCATCACTGTTTCTAGTGTTTCCTATTACAGTCTACTGGGAAGCTATTATGACCCATGAGACAGGTGTACCATGGAATCTCCTCAATAATTGTACAATTAGCCAAAATCACAGGAGGCTGCATTCAGCAGCTTGGCATTTAATAAAGGAGAATTTATTCAGTGGCAAAACAAGTACCCTTTTCTTCTTCCTCTTCCTCTTCTTCCTCTTCTTCATCTTCATCGCTTTCCTCAGCTTTGTTTTCAGTTTCAGGTTGTTTCTCATCTGTTTTTTCCGGTGACATTGTATCTTCTTTTGAGGAATCAACAGAAGACATGGTGTATGGTTCTGTAAAAAGCAGTCAAGAAAACCATCACCAATATAGCAATGTACATGAAAAAGACAGGAATCTTGCTTTTTAAAATAATCTCCTTGTGAAGCAGAAACAGCATGCATGTACTGTGATTGTTCACATTCTCTTACCACTAAAATGTTCTGCATACACACAATACGGAAAACGTTTCAGGAGAAGTTGCTGTTTATTCTGCAACTAGTCCAGTTAAGAACACTCTCAAAGGTTATAAATTTTTTTCACAGACAAGCTGCTTTGTGAAGCACTTGGAAACACCCACTCAAAGCAACTGATACTGTTATCTATTAAAAACTGCAGTGTTTTAAGATACCACTATTTTAGTGCACCCTGCGCTTATTCCTGATCATGGTTAACTATGCATGCAAGTTTCCTAGTAACTTAAACAGGCTACATATTTAGATGGGAAATGGGAACAGAAAAAATAAAAAAGAAAGTTGCAAGCATTACAGAAAAGAATTAACACTGCACTCATAATTCAGACAGCTGCTGCATCCTAGGGCATGAAAAGGCTTTTTGGTTTTAATTTGTAGATCTACAGCAAAAAACCACAAGTGCTTCATACTTAATATATTTAAGAGTCTTTTTTTAGCATTTGAAGTGACTTAAATGTTAACTTTAAAATATCTTAATTTTGCATGTACCACTGTCACACTAAGAGAAAATGTCTATCCGGTAAAGGAAGATAACCATATGTTTCATTTCAGAAAAATTCCACCTTTCAAAAACTTTCACTGTTTACATCTGGAACAAAACACACTAATGATGCTGTAAGCACTTGTGGAAAAAGTATCACACAATTAAGCATTTTCTTCTTCTGATATTAAAGCCGATATTATCTGGAAGAGGTCAGGTTCAATAAACAGCATTTAAATCAACTGCTTATACGCAGTACTAGCAGGTGGCAGAGAGCAGCAGTGCTGCAAATGACAGAACGTGCAAGTTAATATTTATTACCAACAGTAAGGAGAAAAGTAGTTTCCTGCTCTTTGCTAAATCACTGAGGAGGGGGGGGGGAAACCCCAAACTTTCAAGGTATTACTACCAATATTTCACTTGACACCTATAAGTCATTTTCACAGCATTACTCTCTGAATTTTACTTGAAGGCACGAGTGTAAAAGCATGGGAAGCACTATGAGCCGGTTGTCCCTCCCCTTTCAACAGGAGCAGCGGGGTACGAATACGAAAGTTAGGGACTTCTCAGCTTTTTATCCCCTGGGTTCGTAAGGGCGGCTTGCTCAGGGAAAAAGGGCCCTGGGATGCACCTGTAGGAAGACTCAACTCGGGGATACATTTGGCCGGGAGAGGGTCTCTCACCCTCCCCTGGGGCTTTTCAGACGGAGACTCGCCGCCTGTACCCCCTGCAGTCTGGAGGCCAGGGAGAAGCACAGGCTATGGGCAGCTCCCGGCGGCCAAGGCTCCATCACCTCCCCCGCCTGGGACCGCTCCGCCCGCTCCCGCCGCAGGACAGCGCAGCGCCCAGGAGGCACCCCGGGCGGGGGCCGAGCCGGGCCGGGCCGGGCCGGGAGGCGGCCGCGGTGCCCAGCGCTCCGCAGGCACGGCGTGTCCCCGGGGCGGGGCGGGAGCCCGGCGGCCGCGCTCCACTGCTCCTCGTCACAGCCCGTCCCGACTCGGCCCGGGCGCGGCGAGGCGGGACCGCTCTCGGGCGCCGTTACGGCCATGGCGGCGGGACCCACCTCGGATCGCGCCGCGGCTCCCGGCTCCTTCCTCGGGCGCGGACGCGGCGGCTGCAGCAGGAGGCGGCGATTCCCGGCGGACGGGGCGGGTCCGGGCGCAGCGACACACACACACACAACGCACGCACCCCCGCCGCGGCGCAGCCCCGCGGCCGCCGGGCACTCTCTCCCTTCTCCTTCCCCCGCTCGCTCCCTCCTTCCCTCCCTGCCGGAATCAACAAGGTTTTCAAAATGGCGGGTTCCCGGGCGGCGCGGAGGAAGCGGGAAGGCGCCGGCCAATCAGCGCGCGCGGCCCGGCCGGCGCGGGCAGGGCCGGGGGAGGGCTCGTGAGGGGAGGGCGCGCGCGCCCGCCGGCTCTTGACGTCAGGTCGCGCGCGGCGCCCGGCGCGCGCCCTCGCTGAGGGGAGCGGGGAAGGGGGGACCGCTGCGTTTTCGCTTTTAAAAGCACCGCCGTCTGTGATTACGCTGGCTTTAAAAAAAAGGCTTTAAAGTAAGGAATCTGCACCTCTCTTGCCTAAATTAGGCTGTGATTAATATGCACTCCCCAGACTTTCCTTCTCTAAGCAGTACAGAAATTGTAGCGTTTCCTGATACCTCTGGAACAGGTTGCCCGGAGAAGCTGTGGATACCCCATCCCTGGAAGAGTCCAAGACCAGTTTGGATGGGGCTCTGGGCAACCTGGTCTAGTAGGAGGTGTCCCTGCCCGTGGTAGGATGGTTGGAACAAGGTGATCTTCAAGGCCCCTTCCAACCCAAATCATTCTGTGATTCCATGATTCTAAGTTTTAAGCACTTCGTGCTATTTATGCCACGTATACTTCCCAGTTTTACTACCCGTTCTACACTACCGCGCCTTACGCGCGCCTAAGGTTAACAAATTCCTAGGAGTGTGACACCCTTCCCACTCGCTCTCCCTTCGCTCTGCCGCGGCTCCGCCCCTCAGGGGCTGGAGCAGAGCTCCCGTTCCCCACGGAGCATCCGCGCGTGGGGATCCCGACCGCATCCCCGCCGTCCTGCCCGAGCGGGACCAAGGAAGGGCTGGGCGGTCCCGCCGGGTTTTAACGGCCCGGACGGGCTCCGGGATTCGCGGCCAACGGTGGGAAACGGCCTCGGAAACGGGGGCCGAGGGGTGAGCTCTCCTCCTCCTTATTCCTGCAAAATGTAGGGGTGGCGGGTGGCGCCGAGAGAGCCGAGGCCCGGTTCCACTCCTGCTGTACCCTGAGTTTAAGGCTTAAGACCTAATCTTCAAACCCGAGAGGAGGCCACGTTGGGCTTTACGAGCCTGCAGCGGGAGTCGGGAATAGTCAGACAGTATGTCCGAGGAAAGCAGCCCGAATTAGGCATCGCTGGGGATTTGTCTCAAAGCCGTGTTGTACCGACAGCGGTTTCTTGGCTGGTGTGAAGAGCTGTAGGTATGTGGCTCTTACTTTGGCAGGGACCAGGTAAAGGGGTAGTAAAAGAGAGGAAGTGGGAAGAGCGTCGCGCTCCTGAGAATTCCTAATCTCAGGCAAGTGTAAAACACAGTCCTGTAGAATTGGTAGTAAAACTAGGAACTAGTGAAATGTGTGACACAAATACTACAAAATACTTAGAATCATGGAATTACAGAACGGCTTGGGTTGGAAGGGACCGTAAAAGTCATCTAGTTCCAACACTCCCACCTGTGGGCGGGGCCACCTTCCACTAGACCAGGTTGCTCAAAGTCCCATCCAACCTGGCTTTGAACACTTCCCAGGATCCACAGCTTCTCTGGGCAACCAGTTCCAAAGCTATTAGGAAATACTACAATTTGTATACTGTGTAAAAAAGGAAAGTCTGGGGAGCGTATATTAATCACCACCCAATTTAGGCAAGAGAGATGCAGATTCCTTATTTTAAAGCTATTTCGAAGCTGGTGCAATCACAGATGGTGGTCGTTTTAAAAGGGAAAATGTAAATTATTTGCCAACAATACATAATTAAACAAGCTTCTTGTTAACACATAATAAGGAGACAAAAATATCATTGAGCCATGGGCTACACAAATGGCAGAACACAGATGTTTGAATACAACACGCTACTTCCCATAAGATGAATAGGTTTGGATTAGTTCAGAATCATGACAGAAGACATCCACAGGCTATGCTTCAGGTTGTGATGATGAGTTAGACCATCATTTTGTAAAGAGGTATGTATTTACCCAATGGAGATGCTTTACCTAGTTGTATTACCTATGTTAATGCTCTACACATTAGAGTTGTATCTGCATCTTGAGGAGAAATAAAACATAATGGTTTTGTTGTTCCTTTTAGTGAAGACATACCACATTAGTAGCAGACAGACCCTCAAACATAGACTTAATTCATTATTTTAGAAACTGATATATTCCATAAAGTAAATTTCATTTTGCCACAGGTTTCTTCTGGAAGAGCTTCAACTGCTGTGGTAACTAACTTCTGAGGTGTTGTTTTTTTTTTTTT